GCCCCCGGCTGGGTCTCTCCCTTTGAAATATAGGAGCTGCGGACGGCTCTTGTACATTTCAAAGAGAGAGGCGCAGCCGGATAGCGAGTGCCTCCTTATCGACAGATAGCGTAGCCGATGGAAATTCCATCGACTTCTCGATTAGCTGATTCATCACAATGTAACATCCTTGGTACTTGGTCCTGCTGAGAGGACAGGGCACTGAACTCAATGACCTCTCAAGGTCCCTTCCAGTTCTATGAGATGGTATATCTCCATATATTATATTGTCCCTACTTGACAGAGCCCTGGCTGGGATGATTTCATTGGGGCTGCTCCTGCTTTGGGCAGGGAGTTGGACTCAATGACTCCTGAGAGCTCGCCCAGCCCCGTGATTCTATGGGCATGAGCTGTATGTGTCCTGATGATTTTAAGCACGAGTAGAAGCCGCCAGAGACAGTTAGCAGCAAAAGTTTGACTTGTTGGACTCTAACCATGTATGAAAACGTCTCATAATTTCCCATTAATCATTTATAGCCCACTTATAAATGGAGCCTCGCCCTCGTGTGACCCGTACATTCCCCCCGGAAGCGTGTGGTTTATTCAGCCCCGAGCCACTTCATAATCCACCTGCTGGTTCCATGCAGCTCGCAGGCTGCCCTCCCTGGCGTTTGTTTGCCAGCTGGAGAATCTCCAGGCAGGGAGTGGGGCTCGGAGCGAGTTCCGCTTTGGCTGGAAACGTGTCTCCGCTTAGGGACACCCTGACCTCTGATATTCCTATGTGGCCTCTCCCCAGCCAGCGTGCCTGGGAAGCACAGTCGGTACACGGTGACTTCCTCATGAGCTGCTGGGCCGTTGGCCGGGGGAGGCAGGGTTACCCGCCGTGTCTGTGCAAGGTGCCCAGGCGGTCAGCGGCCAGACGTGAGTGGGATGCAGCAAGTGAATGAACGGGGGGAGCTGCAGGAATGCAGGAACCCAGGATAATGGGGTGGGGGTGGCTGCTAACTGGGAACAAAGCAATCCTGCTTGAGAGGACCTGTGGACACTCCTTGCTGAGTGTGGACGGCTGCCCCTCCCTGCCCTCCGTCTGCACAGACCCCGGCTTTCAACACCCTGGGCAGCTGGAACCTGAACCCGGTTCCAAACTTCATGCTTCCCCCTTTCATTGTCTCCACAACTGCCCAGAATTCTGGTTCAGACATTTCCAAACGTCGTGCTGGGGGTTCAGCTCTGAATTCAGCCCTGTGCTTTGACCACGTCCGTGGATGTGAGCTCCACGCGTGGCTGATGCTGCGTTCCCCTCCTCCCCCACCCACGCACCCATAGACACCTGTGCAGAATGGGCCCGGTTCTCGCTTATCCTGAGGCCTTTGACACTGCTCTCACTGTCTGTAAAGTGGGAGTACGTCGCCATCCCTGACTCCAAGCTCCCCGCAGCCAGCCTGGTGTGAAGGGGCTGTGGTGTAAGAGAGAATAGGAGCCCCGGCAGGCTTCTCCCTGAAGTTTTTCCATCCTTGGGCGGAATACATTTTGTTATGTGCACGGGGGCATGTGCAGGTGTGCACCACCAATAGAAACACATGCTGTCCACTGTGAGCTGCCGTGGGTGCTCTGCTCATCAGCTGGGTGGCCGCCCACGTGCTCAGCTTCCAGGGAACACTGGTCCCCCAGGGGTATAAAATGCCATCAAATCGAAGTGGTAACAATTCACACGCTCTTAGCACTTCCCGTGCACTAGTGCAAATGACTAGGGCACGGTGGGGTGGGCCCTGGCCGGTGCATGCTGTCTTCTGATGCTGCTGCACCACGGCTCACTTGTACGTTGCCAGGTGTGTCTCATTGTCTTCATTTTACAGGCGTGGCGGCAAGGCAGGGGGGCATAGAGGGCCTGTCTTGCTGCTGGGCTGGATGTCTTGTAGGAGCTGTGTAGGTCTGCCAGTCTGTGTCCCACACTGGGGCGGGGCCCCGTTCCCTAGCGCCCCACCCGGACGGGGTACAGAGACTGCAGGACTGGCGGCCCCCAGGGGCGATGGCTAAGTGGTGATCCAGGGAAAGGGAATAGCTGTCATAGAAGAGTCTTTTCTCCTGCCTTCCAGATCTTGGCCTCCCTGGAGGAGCAGAACTTCACGGAGGCCTGGGGGAAGAAAGCCAAGGAACTCTATGGCTCCATCTGGAAGAATTTCACAGACACTCAGCTGAAGAAGATCATTGGCTCCATCCAGACCCTGGGGCCTTCCAACCTGCCCCTGGACAAGCGGCAGCAGGTAGCGTCGTGCGGGGTTGGTCTGAGCGGGTGGGGAGGCGACCCCCAGTGATGCTACGGTCTGTCCACGCTGCGCTTAGACACCAGCGGGCGTGGGGCTTTTTAAGTGTAGATGTCTGGGCTGGAGCCCAGGCGCTAGGACCCTGTGAGGTGGGAGGGTCCCAGAGCTGAGCCTCAAGGTCTACAGGGCAATGAAACCGAGTCGGCCGTGGGTGTGGCTGAATGCAGACACGCCCCTGACGTGGGCGGCGGGTATGCTAGGCGGAGGAAGGCATTGCCTTGCCAAACTGCCAGCCTGGCCACGGCCACGGCCACGCTCTGCCCCAGAACACCTACTGGGGCGGGGGAGGCTGGGGCTGCACACTGCCCCGCTCTGTGATCCTGGGGGGTAGGGCTTGGGCAGCTGGGGCAGGACTGGGGCAGGGTTTGGGGGCTTGCCTCCCCCAGCCCTACTTACCCCACCACCCGTGGCTCTAAGTCACTGAGCTTTGGGGAAAGAGCAAGAAAGGATCGGGGGGGTGTGTGGGGCGGGGAGGGAGGCTGGGCAGGTTCTTGGGGCAGGGCGGGCGGTGTCTCCGGCAGGCTCTTGGGACATCGCAGGTCAGCTGAAAATCCATCTTTCTGTTTGTTCATGAAGCCTGGTGGCTGGGGACTTACCCCACCACCCGTGGCTCTAAGTCACTGAGCTTTGGGGAAAGAGCAAGAAAGGATCGGGGGGGTGTGTGGGGCGGGGAGGGAGGCTGGGCAGGTTCTTGGGGCAGGGCGGGCGGTGTCTCCGGCAGGCTCTTGGGACATCGCAGGTCAGCTGAAAATCCATCTTTCTGTTTGTTCATGAAGCCTGGTGGCTGGGGAG